GCCAATACCAATGTGGATCGCACACATACACACACACACACTATATAATATATATATATATATATATATATATATATATATATATATATATATATATATATATATACAATATATCACTTTCAGACCTCAAGTGCAATTGGTTGTACATATTCGGAGGGTATCGTAACGGTTCTCAAATAATGCCTTATATAAAATTACTTTATTCCAGTCTACTTATTAACCTACCATCTACTCTGTGAATTACTGTGATATTTCGTGATTCCCGGAGACGCTTCCCTTTACGCTGAATTGATTTCCAGTTTCTAGAAAAAAAAGTACACTACATATTTCATGTATAATATAACATAAAATGACATATCTTCAAATATTTGAGCCGGTGTCTGAGGGGGATACGTACATATAGCAATGTAAGTTCCACTTGGTATATTTAAAATGTATACCTCGTATTAGTGAATTTTAGTATTTTAGTTTAGTTACACTTCCTATAATGTCTTTCAGAAATATAAAAAAGTGGTACCAAGCCAAAATTTCCATAAATTTGGTTAAATAAACAAAATTATCAAGAAGTTTTCTTTTATTATATAATAACATTTCATCACCCATAAAAATATTTTAGAAACTAAAAACTCGGTAAATTTAATTTACATATATATAAAAAAGAAAAAAAACAAATAATGGCAATAATAATAATAATAATAATAATAATAATAATAATAATAATAATAATAATAACTACATCATTAATAATAATAATGATAAAAATAATAATAATGATAATAATAATAATAACAATAAAGACTACAATAATAATAATAATGATGATGATAATAACAAAATAAAACACATAAAAGTGACAAAACCAATAATTTCAATATATATCTTAAACTCTGGTCTTCAGGTACCAGTCACATTATACTGAGTGATATTTTCCATGATTGAACTATAGAGACCAACATCTGCGGAGACAGTGCTCGGAGAAAGTAATATTACTATACCAGTTCCGAAACCTACCAACATGTGAACGTAACAATGGGCAATATCTGAGATAGCTATGATTAATGCCGTAGATCACTTATGAGCTTGGGTTAATAAACTGATGTAAGTATACATTTGTAATTATATAAGTTTTGATAATACTGTTCAAAGAAACTAATGTTTGCAGTACCATAATTGACATTATGTGTTTATACTAAAATTTAAAATGTTTCATTGTAAATATTGGAAAGTACCATCACAGTTTAACAGAAGTGACTAGGACAACCTTTTTAACAAGGTTTTCTGACATTTCAGATCATTTCCACTGTATTTACATTATTTGCTTTCTACTCTCCACTGTCCAGGAAATGGGAGGAGGGGGGGGGGGAGGAGTACACAGGACTGGAATATATCAACACCCTTTATAGTTGGCAACTTGCTTGGTGAACATGAAACCACCATGATATACAGAATAATGGCAAGAGAATTAAACAGAAAGGAAGAAAAATAACAAGGGTAGAAATAGGTGAGAAGCAGCAATAAAGGGGGTATGAGGTACTCAAAGCCAGCTGGAAGACAAGACATGTAAATGAGAAACTTCCACAACTGCAGTCAAAATCATATTCATTGGTGTCTCATAACAATTGTGCTCTTATTTCTCCAAATGCCATCACAACAACAACAACAATGACAAAAAAGGAACTTGGGAATGCATACTCACCATTATCAATACAAGATAATGTGAGACCTTGCTTCCCCTTACAGATAAACTTTCATAGCTCCATAGTTCTTGTAAGTACTGGGGTAGGTATGGTAATATCAAATAATATAATCAATCCTAAAAATCATAAAATAAAGTCAATATTGACTTTCCTTTAAATCCAACATCTTATCACTAGCAACCTGAATATGAAACATTACATGATTTTTTTTTTCATTTAATATAAGCACTACGAGTTACTGTCATTACAGGCAGCTTTGCATACTTCTGTAATGTCCAATATGATGTTGAACTGAAATTAAGGTCTATATAACACAATATAACCTAATTTGTAAGTAGCTGAGATACAGTAAATATACCATTCACAGCACATTTTGACACCCTTACAACATAAGCAAGAAATGCAAGCATTTCTGAAACTATTCACCAAATTGTGACATGGAACTTATCTTACAACTTACTGGTAAATCAGTAAAGTCCAGCATAAAATCTGAATTAATATAATTTGACTGTTTCATCATACACATAGGGATAACTCCTATCATTTATATCATAATCTTATCTTCAGGTGATGTGATAGGGGAGGGTGACTCTCAACCAAAGAAATTCTTTCTCTCTGTCTTTCTTTCTTTCTTTTCTCTGTCTTTAGATACAATTACTTTGGTCTAAGATGTACAAAATATGTATGCACATTATCATGTAACATGTCAGTTTTATAAACATTCATATATCATTCCCACTTCCAAATATTGCTTTTAAAATTATGTGGATATCAAACCTCAACAAATAACCAAATAAAGCCTTATAATGGACAGCATGAAATTCAGGTTACAAATGTTACTCCTTTATGTCTGACATATTTTCCCCTTCCAATATCAGGTAAGTAATGGAAACCATGAGTTTAATGTAATATGCATTTCATGCACAGAACATAACAAAACTTCTATATACAATATGATTCCCTAGCATGCATTTAGTCACAGGATTGATAGAAACACCAGGCTGGTATCACCGGTCATCTGTAAGGTTGTGCAGTCTGATATAGAGCTCTGTTTTCTTATAAGGTACACTGGTACACCACTATACTACACCAGAGAGTAACAGCAAGCTGAACTTACAACATAGGAACTTTTTAAAAGTAAAATCACCTGAAGAATATGATTATCCACCAACTCAACATGTATTCCAGTCCTGCCTACAACTAATCAAATTGGCTCCAAAAAATCCTTTTGCTTCTTAAGTACTGTGAAAACTGTTGGTAGTATGAGTGTATCATGTGTATAAACATTTTAACACACATACATACATACATACACAAACACACACACACATCTCTTGCTTTACGAGCCATGTGTACCTTGCCTTCTCAGAGCTTTACTCCTGTCAACTCTAACAGTTTCACATAGGAAGGGCCTAATGGGAGGCCTGTCTCAACGGTTATTCTTGGCCATGGAGTGGATGGCCCAGTTGACAGAGGTCTTCCATGAATTTGACAAAGCCTCGTCAAACTTGGATCTGAAGTGCTCCAAGGCATCAGTTTCTGTTAGGTCCAGTTTCTGGAAAGAACGAATGAGATGGTTTGGATTACGAATTTTACAAAATCCATATACACATGGAACCCAAATATGCAACAAAATGTCTAGAAAACTGACTTAGGGAGGAAAATGTTGCAGCAAAAAGAAAGAGAAAAAACATTTGGTAAAAAAAAAGAAAAGATAAAAAATCTAGAACAAACAAGAAACCTAAAAATGAGTTATACAACTAGAAAATGAATGTCTTCTTTACACTGGCACAATAAAAAGACAATATTCGTTGACATTCTATTAAACATTATCAAAAAACTGACCTTCACAATCCCTGATAAACAAAAGAATTAATACAGCAAACACACCTTATTCTTTTCCTCATCATTCTTATTGTTTACAATTGGTAGATGTACTGAGTGAATAAAACAGCTTCCTTACAATACATTCATAAGCACTAAATACAAGCTATAATCCTTCATAAGACGCAACCTTGAAACAAAAATTACATATTACCATCACTGCCGCCATTCTACTTACAAGAGTTTCCTTCAAGTAATCCAGGTCTTTCTCACTCTGTAGCTCAGGCAGGCCAGTTGAGATCATCATGGCGAACAGAGAAATGATGAAGGATCCATATCGTCGCAGAATTAGGAAGGCCTGTGAAAAGGAGGGAAGAAAATTTAATCCCCATTATCAGGCATGCAAATAAGTGACAAAGGATAATTACTTGGAGATCAAAAATTGTTGACTTGCTATTAACCAAACGTTCTACACCTATACAATACTCAGTATTCAAAAGTTTGCATCTATTATTCTGGTAATGTCCTTATGACTAGGCTTAACTTCTTTTGAATTATGTGCATGACAATTAAGAATATCTATCTATGTATACACCTACCATTACATCTACTGACAAATTGACCCACCTTCTAAAACCTCATAAATCAATATCACTTATCTTGAACCTACCTGCTCACAGTACGACTTAAACTGAATGAATTCCTCCGAACGTGTCCTGCCCTTGGTGATCACATGGATGAAGTCATGAGTCAGGACAAATGGTTGCCTCTCTCTCTTGATACCAAACTTTTCCTTGAAGTGGCCAAGAATGTGACCAAAGTCAATGTGGAATAGCTGTCCATTCTTCATGATCATGATGTTGTCTGAATGACGGTCAGCCACACCTAGAACGTATGTGGCCACACAGTATCCAGCACACGAAAGGGTGAACTCCTGAATGGCCTTGTTCAGCATAGCTTCTGTAGTGTTGTGATCCTTCAGCCAAGCTGCATGAAGTGGCAAATAATTTGTGAGAAAAGATTCTGTCTACATACAAAGTGACAGCATATACAGCCATCCCCCTATATAATCCAAACATTTTCTTGTCCAGTTGTATATATGGATGGTTGCCAGTCATATAGGTCATCAGTGGAGGAGAGGCTGTGTATTCAAGTTAATCAATTCAATCATTTATTTATTTATAAATAAAAATCACTTAGTTATCATGAATTTTCTATATACTTCAGGAGACTTACCCAACAAAGACCCTTTCCTGAATGCACAGGTGGCAGAGAAAACACCCTTTTTCCTCTGTATATTAGCAATTGTCTCTGCATTCAGCACCACTTGAATAATACCCTCCCGATTATCTGTAGACATACAGCTGTATGGATTCATTCTGAAAAACAAAAAGTTTGTTAATAATCAGTCGTGTTATGTATCCCCTAAAAACCACACTATAATGGAAAGCTAAATTAATTTCCTGCAAAAGAAAAGAAAGAAAAAGTAAAATCACCTGAGATCAAGCCCATGATCCTTCCAGAGCTTGTCCATAATCTTGATCATCTGCAGAGTCAACATATCCTGCCGAAGGTCATCTCCATACTTGTACAGGAGGTAGATCTTCTTGCCATGCGAGTCCCCATTCTCAAAGACCAGCCAGAGAGGGGCCATCTTGCTGTCCTTGAACTTGCATTCGTCAGAGCTGCAGTTGACAAAAATGGTAAGAAAGAAAAGCAATGGTTGGGAATTTTTTAATATGAATTTACTATAGAGAACATCACCATCACATCACATCATTGCTGACCAAATGGCTGAGCAAATATCCCTTCTGTTGCTTTTAAATTCCTTAAATATTTGGTTTATTATATTAGTTAGTCCTTTACATTATTTGATTTTCTTTTACAGTTCTGATCAGGTTTGTATGTTTTAGGTTATCACCTGTATATTTTAAGTGTACTTTAATACAGAAAGGTCCATTAATTAAAAAAAATGAGAAAACATCTAATAAAATTTCTCCAAAATAAATAAATAAATGAATAAAAATCTACAGACTCCCATTACTCACTTGATGTTACTGATTCTGTACATGGGATCTATGGGGTTGAGGAAGTGCGACAGGGCAGAGCGGGTATGGGGTTGGTTCATGTATTCCTTCATCATCCTCTCTGCACGGTCTCTTACTGAACGGTTTTCGTTGACAACTACTCTAACCTCTGAAAGAATGATAACGTTTTTAGTTAAATGTATTCAAATTTACACAAGGAAAGGAATTATATATAATATGATATAACAAAATCACATTTCCAGGTGTTGATTACTTAATGGCACTGGAAAAAACAACATAAATCCAAACCATGTTTACCTTTAAACTTATTTAGTGCATCTAACTGTCTGAGTAAGATTTTCATATGTTCCACAGATCCTCTGCAGTATGCTTCCAGTATCAGACCAAAGCGAATTGATACAGAGGGAACGTGCATCTCTGACCTGTGAATGCATAAGTTAATAGTTGCTGAATGACATAGGCAGAATCACAAGTAAACATTCTAGATGACTGGACATTAAACAAAATCACTTATAAAAAAGAGGGAGAAAACGGAAACCACACCACTAATTTTTCTTCAGTACCTTTATATACTATATAAATAAATTGTACATTTCCCTCCATGAATATTCCTGCACTCACCGCAGATGCCAAAAGAAGAAATGACCGATCCGCATATTCCTGAGGGCTCTGTTAAGGAGGAACTCAACTAGATGACAGTACAGGTAATTTTCATGCTTCAAAGCTTGAACTAACTGCAGCAGGTAGAGAAGCAGGTCATCGTCACTGTTGAGAGAAAAACAAATCAAACACCTAAAATAAAACAAATTAAATATACCAAGTTAGTTCCCTCGTTACCTATATTCCTGAATTTCACAAGATGCTCAAAAACCTTTCTTTCTCCAAACTGACGGACAGTCCATGACTTACCTAATAGGTGCTAGGCACTCTATGGCATAACTTCGAACAGCAGGTTCTGGGTAGGCATAATCTAGCAGCTCCAATGCACGGTCCGGTGACAGCTTGGGCCACTCTTCCAATAGCGCTATCATCTCTGCCACCTGTTATGTACATCCTATTATTTAGTACTCTGAATATTATGCGAGATTTGTGTTTTGTAGATATATCTATTGCAATGGAAAAAGATAACCAGTTAAGCAAAGTAATCACGAATTCTTTACTGCATTAGATTCCATACGTGTCCAGCCTACAATGAGTACTCTTGTCTATATTTCAAAACTGAGACATAATCAAATTAACATCTATCTTACACATTAATCGCATTGATGCTAGGATAGCATGGAGATAAGAGCTACATCTGCGTTGTCTTTAGGTTAACAATTTGATTACAGATTAATGATTCCATAAGAACTTAATCACCAAGGAGTTAATTACTAGCCCTACCTGACCTCACCCATTAACCCTTTCCTTTGATTTTTGGAGAGATTCTCTTTCTCTATTATTGCTATTAAAGGTGATCATAACATTACAATAATTTCAATGTCTATCATAATAATGATGATAATGATAACATTAACAATAATAACGATAATAGTAATAATAATAATAATAGTAACAATAATAATAAAAACAATAATAATTACAGTAATGTCAAAACCCTTTGGGAAAAAAAAATCAATGAATGGTGTGGTCAGTTAGGTCTACTAAATTGACTCTTTTGTGAAAAGAAAAAAAAAAAAAAAACTACAGTGGACCCAACAACCATTGGCTACACTTGAAGGCACTCATCAGTGTCAAGAGAACTCCATCAAATGACCATAAACATATGCAAAACGTCTTTCCAGAGGATCTTACCTCTGCTTTGTTATCCCATTCAACGCACTGCAGGAGTTTGGGCAAAAGGTGTGGGATCTTTTGTCGACAGGTATTCCTCAGTGACCAGATCAATTTACGCTCTTGTTCGTGAAGCTCTGTTAATGGATCTCTTTCTG